TGAGCTGAAGTCTCTTTTTCCAAAGAACTAGTCTGTTGCTTTTCCAGGGTGTTGCCTGGAATGGGACTCTCTGGGTCTTGTATAGTTGATTTTTCCACAGTCCAAGTTGATCATTTGTAGATACCCTGCCCTGCTCCTGGTTTTCTATACTAGCTTCTTAGGAAAAGTGTAAATCCATGTCAATGTGGCATGCTCCAGATGTGACTTTGTGAGTCATGAACGTTAAAAATATGTACATTGGGCTGGGTGTGTGGCTCATGCCTGTAATCCCAGCATTTTGGAGGGCTGAGGTGGGCAGATCATTTGAGACCAGCTTGGGTAATATAGCAAGACCCCATCTCACATAGTGAGACCCCTACAAAAATCTTGCAGTATTACATGTGCCTATAATCCCACCTACTTGGGAAGCTAAGGTAGGAGGATCTCTTGAGCCCGGGAGGTTGAGGCTGCAGTGAGCCATGATCACACCATCACATCATTGCACTCCAGCCTGGGCAACAGAGCAAGACCGTGTGTGTGTGTGTGTGTGTGTGTGTGTGTGTGTGTGTGTGTGTGTGCGTGCATGTACATGCTATGGGGAAATTAATTCAACAGCTATTTATTGAGCGCCTGGTGTATGTATACTGGATGCTGTGCCGGGCATGGGGATAGAAAGATGGCTGAGATAGGATCTTGCTTCAAGGAACTTTTAGTCTAGTGGGAGAGACAATTTCAGCAAAATATTTACCTGCAGTGATAAAATAAAGCGTACACATGATGAGGCTTCCTGGGAGCTGTGTTGAGGTGAGTGAGTTCTCAGGATAACTTGGCCAGGGGCATAGAGACATGGCTGGGCAGGGTGTTGGAAGGGAGAGGAAGGACCACGCAGGCAGGAAGGAGCCAGGCCTTCCTGAGGAACCTTGGGCATCTTAGAGGTCATTGGAGAGGAAAGACTCATCGTGATGTTGGCACTGGACCTCAGGGAAGGAGCTGGCTTACCAGTATTACCCATTCTTAGAACATTCAGTGTGGTGACTGGTCCTCTGTGGAGTCTCAGGGTCACAGAGCTCTGCCCCCCTCCCCCCCACCTCCAGCAACTCGGGAGCTCCCGGCTCAGCTGCTGTGCCTTCTGGTGGCACCTCTGCTGCTGAGCTCCACTCTGGCGTCAGTCCTCCACCAACACCTAGTTTGTGTTTTGTTTTGTTTGTTGCTTTTGCTTTTGTTTGAGATGGGTTTTCTCCATGTTGCCCAGGCTGGTCTCAAATTCCTGGGCTCAAGTGATCCACCTAGCACAGCCTTCCAAGTAGCTGGGGTTACAGGTGTGAGCCTCCGTCTCTGGCTTAGCCATCGTGTGTTTTATAGCTAAAATATACCAAGCTGGTTTACGTCTTCTGTCTCTTAATTCAGATAACTGTGAAAGTAGATGCCTTAAAATCCTCATTTTAGGAGTTTTGATTAAAAAATGGAAGCTGAGACCAAGGAAGTTTTTTGCCAGAGGATTGAACGAAGATCAATCCTGTACTCCTGTACTTCTCCCAGATGCTGAGAATGTGTTCCTCTAACTCTGGAGGCTGCCCTTGTTGGGGTGAAAAACTTTAAGGTCACGTGTACACATTAGGGTGCTTTCAGGTGACCTGTGTGGAAAAAGCTACTTTTGGCAGGAGTTTGAGTTGGCAAGAAAAAGAAATCCCAGTGGACTTCCTTCAAATAGTCCCCTTCCTGCATGTTTGTGACATGGAGTGAGATGTCGTAAATGTTGGGTCTAAGTTAACACTTTGGCTGGCAAGGGAAGGTCTGCTACTGAGGTGCCTGGATGAGGCAAGCAAGGGAGGCTGGCTGTGCATGGCCGAGGGCCCCTGAGCTGGAGGAAGGCCTGCAGAACACCAGAGAAGCCTCCTGCACACATCCATTGTTTTTCTGCCCTTCACTGGCCTCCTCCTGTCTAATCCTGGCCACCCACAGGAAGTGCATCAGGCAGCAGGTCTCTGCCATCTGGCTCCTTCCTGCGCCCCGCACCCTCTTGCTGTCCCTCTGCATAGACTACCCTCACCCTGCCCTGAACCACGAGAGCATGGCCACTCCCTCTCAGCTCTGTGGCCTGAGCTGGAGCTCAGTCCCTGACACACAGGAGGCACCTGGTCAGTGCGGGGTGAACAGACGTGCACACAGAGCACAAATGAGAGGAAAGACTCTTATGAGGTGCTTGAGAGTTGGACGTGACTTTTAAAATAAAATTCCCTTTCTACAGTGCTTTGTCCTTAAGCCTGACCTTCACATACATAGTGAGTACAGGTGAGTCTTAGGCGCTCTGACCTGTACACAGTAGTTACCCTTAAGCCATCCTGATCCGGGCCTGCATCGCGGATTCATACATAATCCCAGCCAGGTGGCTGCATTGTGGCCACTCTAGGGTGCTGGCTATGTGGTGATGGATGTGGTGATCTTATTTCATGAGAATCCTGGTCTTTCCTCAGTGCTGCAAGGACTTAGCAAGTCCTCCCGGAGAAAGTACAAAAGGCCTCCAACAAGAAAGAATTAAGGGAGGTAGGACCTCTTTAAGTGGGACGTATTCTCAGACAGGAGAATGAATTCTCAGTCCATCAGTAAGCACTAAACTCCTGGTAAATGCCCAGCTTGCTGGGTGCTTAGGTATAACGGAAACATTCCAGCTCCTGGCTGTTTGATAAGTAGAAACATGCATGGAAATAACACCAAAAATACAAAGCCATCTACATATGGTGCCATATGAGTGTCACAGACAGAACAGAAGTTGGGGGAAAGTGTCACCAGTCTGATAGGGAGGCCCGGGGAGGGGCTGGGGCACGTGTGTCAGCCACACCTGAGGGACAGTGAGTTTTGTAGTTCAGCAGAAGGGTTTTATGGAGATGGTGGGAGCTCAGGAGGAATAGTCATGATGACTGTGCTGGCTTCGCCGCAGAGCACCTCCCGTATGCTGGGGTGGGGTTCCCTTCAGGAAGACGAACAAGGTGCAGCCTGCTCAGGTGCACCGCCCTGCCACCTTCCACCCTGAGCCAGGGCTGGGCTGCCAGCTTTCCCTGGCCTCAAACAGCTTAGGTTGATTTTCTGGAATATATTTTCGTTGCTACAAAGGTTATATTGTAATGGTAAAAACCGCAACTACTTTTGCACCAACCTAATGTTCATTGCAATTTTTCTATCTAAAAAGTATGAAGAGGAAAATAAAGTTACCCACAATCCCACCACCCTGAGAGAAAGAGCATTAACCCTTGGTGCACTTTCTTCCAGGTGTATTGTAGTGATGAGTGCCAGGTAGTGGGAGTGAGTAGCCAAAGCTCATATGGAGCTTCGTAGTGAAAAACCCACCATCAGCAGCATGGCTGGCCCCAAACGTGTCCATTGCTAATGAGATGAACTTGGCTGTCTAGTGTTGGAAAAAATTTCCCTTTACCATTCCTCAGAGCAGAGCCGACACATGGACTCACACACACTCCCTGAAGTGAGCCCTGTTCGTGGGGCAGAGCAGCCCTGGGCTGAGGGTGAAGCCGAGCCTCATCTGGAGCCACAGCCTCTTCCCAGAGCCCCAGGAGGAGCCCCAGTGAGGGCCTCAAAGTGACCCAAAGCAGCATGTGTGGTCTCTGAGCCCCGGCGTGGGCCTGTCTGCTACACAGCTCAGGTGGCCTCTCTGTAGGTTTCCTGTCCGTTTCCCCCACGCTCCCTGGCTTCTACAGACTTCTTCACCCACTTCATGCCCATAACTAGAAGCGGATTTCCAGATGATCCGTATGCTGTTGCCATGGGCCTGTCTTGCCTCATCATAAGGGCTGGAATGACTGAAGCCGTGGGCTGGTAGTCTTCACCTTTTTGTTGTATGAAGTTAGAGCTGAGTTATTTTGAGTAGCAGAACATAATGCAGAGAGGAATCTGGGTGGAATGACCAGCCCAGCCAGGGCTGGCAATAGGAGAAAAGTATTCGAGTTCTGTTGTACTTTGTAAGAAAATACATGTGCGTATAACCCGGTGTCTGTCTGTATATTTCATTTGTATAATTTATGTACTCTGTGCCATTGATAGTAGTAAGCATCCTTCACGGACTGTCTACTGTATCTTGAGTACTGCTCACCATTCATTCTCGGTGACATCACCAAACATCTCTGTTTTGCAGATGAGGACATGGAGTGTTAGCATGGGGAATAGTGTGACTGGGACTTGCTCCCTGAGCCTGAGGCCCAGGCTTTTTCATCAGGCCTCCTGCTGTCTTCCTCCTTCCTCACTGGGTTTTGCATTTAGCTTCCATCTTTATTATAAGAGGGTCTTGTGGCCCTCCAGAGGTCAGAGGCTGCTCCTTTGACCATGAGACGGTCATTTCATGTACTTCCCTAAAAATGGAAGGCAAAGGGGACATCGTGAGCACAGAGTCCTAGAAGAGCAACTTTCCAGAAGAGACTTCTCAGGAAAACCCTTCCAGGGTCTTCTCTCTGCACCTTCCCAGCTGCCTGGCAGGTGGGCCTCTTCCAGGAAGTGCCAGCATTGAAGTCACTCTGATTTCCTCCAGGCCTCTTCCCAGATGCTCCATTTATGGGTGTCCCACAAGCCATTGGGAAGCCTTTCTGTATTCAAGTCCTAGTCTTCTAGGGCAGAGGTTCTCAATTTTAGTGTCTATAGGAATCACCTGGTGCTTACCAACATAGCTCACTGCACCCTCTCCTCCAGTTGGGGCCCACCTCTGAGTGAGCAGGTCTGGGTAGGCCTGAGAAGTTCCGTTTCCAAATGAGCGGCTGAGTGGGGGCCGTATGTGGAGTACCTTTTCTAAGGTTTTTGCCAGAATCCCTCAGACCTGCCTTTCTGAGGCCCACACTCCCCTTTAAAATCACCTTGCAAACCCCTCTGTTTACTTTAACAATTGAGACAAATGAGCAATGGCTGCCATCTGACATTGAGTGAGGTCGTTATTTTTTGGGCTCTGAAATCAGAAGTGATGTCTGGTCTTTTGCCTCGTACGGCATGTGGAGCTCACTCTTTGGGGAAACTGGGTGTTTCAGGTGGTGAGAGCGGCTGAGGAGGCTGCGTCCACACTGGCCAGTTCCATCCACCCGGAGCAGTGCATCAAGGTGCTCTGCCCCATCATCCAGACGGCCGACTATCCCATCAACCTTGCTGCCATCAAGATGCAGACCAAAGTCGTCGAGAGGATCGCCAAGGAGTCGTTGCTGCAGCTCCTCGCCGACATCATCCCAGGCTTGCTGCAGGTAGGTCCTCATGTTGGTTTGTCTGTCCCCAGGCTGTGTGGGCCACCTCACTCGAAGTAATGTAAGGGCTCTATGCTCCTCCTTCACTGGCGGGGACGGGTAGGAAAAACCAGGCGGGACCTGTGAGGCCGTGTGGCAGGGACACTTCACAGCTGTCCAGCTCACCCCCTCTCCTGAATGCACTAAGAAGACTTACCTGGCAGCTCACAGAATGAGCTTTCTGTTTACTGTAAACATATTTTGATCATTTTTTTGTCCACTCCTTCAACAAACCCTTACTGCACACCTGCTGTAGCCCCAGCCCTGGGCGAGGTGGACCATGGGGTGTAAATCAAACAATGGTCCTTGGTCTCATGCAGCCCACAAATACTTACTGAAACTCTTCTCAGCATGAGGCAGTGAGTAAGACAGACTGGCAGGAAGCAGCTGCGTTCCACTGTGTGGACTGCCTCAGGATTTTCAGCCTACTGTGCAGCCACGCAGACAATTACAGATGTTGCCATGGGCCACATGACAGTAGCGAAGTGGTTGGGGTTGGGGAGAGAGAGGGTCCGTAGAAGAGGTGGTTTCTAGTTGGCCCTTGGCAAGGGAGGGAGTTTCACTGGGGAAAGGTAGAGAGGAGTCAGCATCATATTTAATAAATGCTGCTGTTTGCTGGGTGCTTGGGTTGGGGATTAAACACATAACTGTTGGGGACTAGATTATTCCAAACAAAGAGAATGGCACAGAGGCTGAAGAGTCCTGCGCTGTTTGGAGAACAGCGGCAGGTAGCCCCAGTCGGGTGTGGGTCGGGATGAGGCTGACGGGTAGATGGAGGTCCAGTGCAAAGGGACATGGACAGCTGGGTGTGTTGGCTCACGCCTGTAATCCCAGTACTTTGGGAGGCCGAGGCAGGCGAATCAAGGTCAGGAGTTCGAGACCAGCCTGGCCAATAGGGAGAAACCCTGTCTCTACTAAAAATATAAAAAGTAGCCGGGCATGTTGGCACACGCCTGTAATCCCAGCTACTCAGGAGGTTGAGACAAGAGAATCACTTGAATCCAGGAGGCAGAAGTTGTGGTGAGCCGAGATCATATCATTGCACTCCAGCCTGGGCAGCAAGAATGAAACTCCGTCTTAAAAAAAATGGGACATGGACATCAGGGGCTGGCACCAGATGTTCCCCAGCAATCAGTGGAGGGTAGAGGGGTGTTGCTCACAAAAGTGAGTGTTGTTCTCATTTCTTTAAAGGCATTTTCACAAGGAAATTTGCTTTACCTTTGGGAGAAATGGTAACAAAGCAACTTAACTTTCCCCTTCATTCCCTTTTCTCATTCTGTCTCCCCTGCAATGTTTCTTGGGTGACAGCTTGTTACAGGTGGCGCCTGTGCAGATGCAGAGACCAGCCTGGGACTCGCCAGCCTCCTGTTCCGCACCCCAGAAACCAAGCTTCTCTTGATGCAAAGTTGTGACCTCTTTGGGGTGAAAGCTCTCTGGATTCCATTGCAGGGCTGAGGTCTACCCTGGTTGTTACTGACAAGTCCAAGGTTGAACTCTGAGGGCGTTTGTGGAGATGTTGATGAGATATTGACTGTGGAATGAATCTCTGATCTGGTTTCCTTTTTCTGTTCCCTCCTGGCTCTCTAGGGTTATGACAACACCGAAAGTAGTGTGCGTAAGGCCAGCGTGTTTTGCTTAGTGGCGATTTATTCCGTAATCGGAGAAGACCTGAAACCTCACCTCGCACAGCTCACAGGGAGCAAGGTATGGATAGTGTTACCTGGGCTGATAGGCACACCTGGGCTCTGCCAGCTTGTCATAAATCCGTTTGACTGCAGCTCTGATTCCAGACAGGTTTTGCTCATTGTGTTTTAGCTGGGCCTTATTTCTCCAAAAGCATTTTTCTAAATATAAGAAGGAACCGTACAGTGAAGTCAGTTTAAGGTAACACTGATGTTATACGACAGAGTCTGCCTTCACTCCTGTTTACGAAATGCTGATTTTGAGCTGCTAGTTTATTTCCAGCTTATTTAGAAACCAGGTGATTTTTCATGGAAACAAGAAATTGATCTGCTTGCTTAGCAGTTGCTGAATCAGAGCCGAGTCCCTCATGGGCATCAGTAGTGGCAACAGCTGGCTCTCACCTCGAGCCTGCCACGGCCAGCAGGGCAACCCTGCGCACTTTGCATGAGTTGACTCATGTTTACGGCAACATCCCTGGGGGATAAGCATGGTCATCCCCCTTAACCTGCCCCAGGGCACACAGACCTGACTCCAGGCAGACTTTTTATACTGCTGCCTCTCATGTTCCTTTAAGGGTGTCTGGAATTAGGGGGAAAAGATGGAACAAAATTGGATGTCATTGAAAATGAGAGCGGCTAGACTATTTATTGGTTTTAATTAAAAAAAAAAAAAAAGAAACTAACTCAAATCTGACATGCTAGGCTGGTGAGAGCAGATTAAAAACCCTGCCTCGTGCTGTGGCAGGGGAGGCACAGTGAAGAGGCGAAGCCTTAACTCCCAGAGAGGAGGCCGGCTGGGCCTGGGACCTCAGGGCTGCCTGTGGGGAAAGCACATCTCTGTGGAGTTTGAAATCCCCGCCCCTGTTTTTGTATAAACCACTCTGTCAGATGAAGCCAGTGGAAAGCACGAAACCAGAAGCTTCTGCTCTTATGAGAGGAGGGGACCGTTTAATTTCAGATTGAGCTGTTGCTTTGACACAGCTGGTGAGTGTCATAGCCAGAGCCTTGCTTCTGCAGAGTTCTGGGGAGGCAGAGCTCTGGCTGGGGTGTTGAGAGCAGGGTTTCTCCACCTTGGTTCTGTTGACACTCTGGGCCACCTTGTTGAGTTGGGCTGTCCTGTGTGTGGTAGAAAGCTTAAGCAGCATCTCTGACCACCACTGTCTATACGGACATGTGCCAATAGCACCCCCTGCCAATGTGACCATCACTGCCGTCTCACACATGGCCAGATACCCTCTGCGGGGAAAAATAATCACCTCTGGTTGAGAACCACTGGTCCAGAGGAGACGCTTTCCTCTTTTTGTAAACAGGAATAAGCAGATAGGCTGGAAGAGGTGTATGAGGCAGGTGTGCAGTGCGTGGTTTGGGAGCGACCTGATTCTGTTCTCCAGTTCCTCCTCCTCTCCTCACTCCTGCATAGGCTCCTCATCAGATCCCCTCCCTAATTATCTGAAAAACACTGAGGAAAAGTCCCCCCGCCCTCCTTCCTCCCCCTACCTCCATCAGGGATTTGTAGGTGATTCATGCTGACCGGGAGGACGTAGGAGATACAATTAACAAAGGGAATTAGATTTATAAAATAGAGAATTCATCCAAAAATAACATGAGTCACACCTTGGTTTTGTCTGGCACTTTTTACTTTTCTAAGTAAGAGAGTTGTCCCATCATCTCATTTGACCCTTTGGATAAGGGACAGAAAATCCAGGTGTTTTCTCCTCCCCATTTGGCAGTTGACCTGCTGCTGCCACTCTTGGTGATGCTTTGGGCCCAGAGCCCATGTTCCTGACCAGGAGCCAGCCCTTCCCTCCCCCAGTTACAACCTCTTGGTTCAGGGGTTTGGAGAGACTGGCCTTCACATCTTTCTGCTTTGGTAGCCTAGCTCATCCAGCCATTAATTTTTTTTAATTATTTATTTATTTATTTATTTTTGAGATGGAGCCTCGTTTTATCACCCAGTCTGGGGTGCAGTGGCACAATCTCAGCTTACTGCAACCTCTGTCTCCCAGGTTCAAGCAATTCTTCTGCCTTAGTCTCCCAAGTAGCTGGGATTATAGGTGTGTGCCCCCACGCCTGGTTAAGTTTTTGTATTTTTAGTGGAAACGGGGTTTTGCCCTGTTGGCTAGTCTGGTCTTGAACTCCTGACCTCAGGTGATCCTCCCGCCTCAACCTCCCAGAGTGCTGGGATTACAGGTGTGAGCCACCATACCCAGCCTAAATTTTTTTAATGTAATAGCTCTGGTGTGTTCATATAAACTTCATAGACTCAGGTACACATCTTCTAATACAAAGTCCCGCCCTTCCTCAACTAGATGGGTAGCTGGCAGAGCGTGGTGCTGTCTGTCTCGATTTCTTTGACTAGAAACAAAAAAAGTCAAGCCGTGGCTCCCTGTTTTCCAGTGTTGCAGGCCTGTCAGAACACCCTCTCCCTTTGCTTAAATGAGGTTGGTAAATGATACCAGGGTCTGTAGAAAGAGGTCTGATGAAGGGAAGGAACCTGTATAGTGCCTTTGGAGAGATGCCCCGTTGCTATGGCAGCAACACTAGCTTTGGGCTCAGCTTGCCTTCTGGTCTGTGCTCCCCACTTACTAGTTTTATGACCTTGAACAAGCATTCTTTTCTTTTTCTCCTCTCCAATACAGTCTTTTTATTGTGGTATAACAAAATTTACCATCCTAACTTTTTTTTTTTTTTTTTAAAAAAAGTCTCATTCTGTCACCCAGGCTGTAGTGCAGTGGTGCGATCTCGGCTCACTGCAACCTCCGCCTCCCGGGTTCGAACGATTGTCCTGCTTCAGCCTCCAGAGTAGCTGGGACTACAGGCGCCCGCCATCACGCCCAGTTGATTTTTGTATTTTTAGTAGAGATGAGGTTTCACCATGTTGGCCAGGCTGGTGTCAAACTCTTGACCTCAAGTGATCCGCCCACCTCGGCCTTCCAAAATGCTAGGATGACAGGCATGAGCCACCACGTCCAGCCCATTGTAACTGTTTTTAAGCGTATGGTTCATATTGTTATATAACCGTCACCACCATCCATCTTCGAAACTTTTTTCATTTTACAAAACTGAACCTTTGAACCCATTAAACAATAATTTACTATTTCCTCCTTTCCCAACCCCTGGCATCCACCATTCTACTTTCCGTCTCCGTGAATTTGACTACCCTAGGTATCTCATATAAGTGGAATTACATCATATGTGTCCTTTGTGGCTGACTTACTTCAGTTATCATAATGTCCTCAGGGCTTATCCATGTTGCAGCATTTGTCAGAACGTCCTTACTTTTCAAGACTGAATGATAGTCCGTTGTGTGTAGATAGCATGCTTTGTTTATCTGCTCATCTGTTGAGAGACCCTGGGTGGCCTCCACCTCCTGGCCCTGGTGAATAATGCTTCTGTGAACACTGGTGTACCTGTTCAAGCCTTTAATGTTTAGAGAAACTGCTACTGTTTTCCACAGAGATTGTGCATTTTGCACAAGAGTTCCGATTTCTCCACATCCTCATCGACACTGGTTATTTTATGTTTTTATTTTTTTATTGATTTTTCACTTTTCGAATTTATTTCTAATTATTTCTTTTTTTATTATTTTTTCCCTCTCACACTGACAACTGATAATTCTAATTATTTCTAAGAGTCATCCTAATGGGTATCTCATTGGTTGAAAATAAATATCTGAAGGCGATTTCTCATGTTAAAAAGATTATCCTTTCCCATCGAATGGTCTTAGCACGCTTGCTGAAAATTATTTGACTGGGCCAGAAGTGGTGGCTCATGCCTGTAATTCCAGCACTTTGGGAGGGTCACTTGAAGCCAGGAGCTCCAAACCAGCCTGGACAACAGCAAGACCAACAGCCTGGGCAACAGCAATAAATATAT